AACAACCGCTGGATATGGACTTCAACTCAAGCGTACTGTTTTGTGTTTTGCCAAATTTTCACATCAGATTTGTCTCGTTGTCAAGCAGTTGGAACGTCAATGCAAACTCTTCATCACTCCATACATATCTGTATACTTTCACGAACCATTTTCTTCATTGTTGATGTATATTTCCCTCTTGTCCTGTTGCCAAAGCTCAGTGAGTTGATGTAAACGGCATTTTAAAGCATCATATGCATCCCAGAATGAATTGCAGTGAGCTTAGTGAACGTTCAAGGTAAAATAACATAAAATAGGCAATAAATATGCATGCTGTTTATAGCACATCATTACCAACATGAATGCCAAACGCACGTTAATGCACAGCGAAAAACGTTCGCTCAGGTGAAGAATATGAGGTAATGTTTACTCATATTGAATCATGGCAACCATCGTTAACTCTGACACTTGTTTTTGTTCTGGCTCATTTGTTGCATGATTAATAATACTGTGAGTCAAAGAGTATTTGATGGAGTAGTAGTCAGCTGTGTTCCTCCAGATATTATCAGACCTTCAGCAACATGTCAACAATGATCCGTATGTTTCCCAATCACACACATCTGCTGGAGATCAGAGCACTAGGAATGAAGATAAACATGACATGAACTCATTTTTTATGGTCCACAGATTACTAAAGGAAATTACTGCTTAATATTCCTCGCAGGGAAAACCATGAAAAAAGCATCCCAAGTGTGATTGTGCAAGACTTTCTTTCTTGTAGTTTATTGATAGCAGAGATATAATTTAGCTATAGGTTTGTCATCATATAATGTGTGGCTATCTAATTAGTTACATAGTCAGTTTCGTTGTCTTCCTTGTATGTGCATAAAGTCTTATTTCTCAACTTTTCTAACCAAGAATTGTAGTTCACTTAATTTACTCGCCCCCATGTCTTCCAAGATGTCCATGTCTTTCTTTCTTCAGTCGAAAAGAAATTAAGGTTTTTGATGAAAACCTGCAGGATTTTCTCCATATAATGGACTTCAATGGGGTCCAAACGGTTCATGGTCCAAATGAGAGTTTCAGTGCAAACTGTTCAAAGGGCTTTAAACGACACCAGACGATGAATAAGGGTCTTATCAAGTGAAACGATCGCTCATTGAAAAAATAGATAAAAAAGTTTAAGTTTTATAAGCACAAAAGCACAAATTACTCTGTTCTGTGATGCGCGTTCGTGACTCTCCTGTTCAAACTCGTTCATTAAAATGAACGAATCTTTTTTCGAGTCATGACTCGAAGGATCCTAGTCTAGATAAGACCCTTATTCATCTTCTGGAATCGTTTAAAGCCCTTTGAAGCTGCACTGAAACTCTCATTTGGACCTTGAACCGTTTGGACCCCATTGAAGTCCATTATATGGAGAAAATCTTGGAATGTTTTCATCAAAAACCTTATTTTCTTTTCGACTGAAGAAAGAAAGACGTGGACATCTTTAATTTGGGCCGTTCACACAGAATGCGTTTTCCATTAAACTCCAAACCATTTTTCCATTGTTTTTCTATATAAACACTGGCTAGAGAGACGTTGCATCTCGCGTCTTTTTTTCAGCGTACAAGCTCATGAAATAGCGTTCTAAAAATGCTGTGCTTTAATTATTTTCAACTTTGTAAAAACAATGCTACACCCCTAAAAGGACAAAAATATGAGAAGGAGGAAACATGCAAAACTTGCGCTTGCGAAACGTTTTGCGTTCCCCTGAGAAACCTTGCGTTAGTTAAAACAAGTTTAACTTATTAAAAACGCAGCCACTTTTTCTCGTGCACTGACCTGCGTCTCTCGTTCTAACAGCGTTGTGTGTGAACCCACCTTAGGGAACGTTTGCACAGCAACGATGTACTAAAAAGGAAACGTTTTTGCAATTTTTGCATACAGTCGACGACGTTGTCAAAACGATCCCCGTTCACATGGATCCACGAAAATGGCTAGAAACACTGTGTTCTGCTGGCAGGCCAGTAGGTGGCGATGTCACAATGCCCTGACATAGACTAAACGCGTAAAGCCTAGTTCACACTACATGATTTTAAGCCTGATTTGCAAATCGACAAGTCAAATCACGGGGGATTAGCGGGCAATGAACACTCGCCAATCTGAGCCTCAAAAGACGCTTGCAGACGCGTCACTGAGCCCAGAAAAATATCTAGCATCACTGTAAAAAATATTTTCAAGATTTGTCATCACAACATATTTTCTTTTGTCAAATCAACTTTATAATAATTTATTTAGTTGAGATAACTTATTATTTTGACTTTCTGATGGTTAAATTAATCTCCTTCATTGTATTAACTCACTTTTTCCAGTTCAATCAACTTAAAATTTTAAGGCAACCAGGTTACTTACTTTTTTAAGTTAAACCAGCAATATTTTTTTAAAGTGTTAGTAATCACAACATTTTTTCTTTTGTCAAATCAACTTAAATAATTTATTTAGTTCAGATAACATATAATTTTCAGTTTCTGATGGTTAAATTAATCTCCTTCATTGTATTAACTCACTTTTTCCAGTTTAATGAACTTAAAAATGTTAAGGCAACCAGGTTACTGTTTTAAGTTAAAGATATCTTTAGATATCCAGAGCTGTTGCATGACTCAACCTCACGTGATGTCACGAGCTACAGCCAGTCAGAGCAAGGCATATAATGTAAACACAAACTTTTATTTTGGATGCAATTTATCGCTGCCCAGCACTACATTAAACATGTCATCAGCACACCGTTTAACACGTTTTAACATAAATACAAAAATAATCACCAAAGAAAACAAATCTGTGGAAGTCACACACATTCACACATCTGAATAATAAAAATGTGATATTGCAATATGATCTCCCGAGGAAAGAGTGAGCGTATGGAAGGAATGCCGTGCAGAAAGGAGAGGAGAAGGATCTGGGCTTTGATCAGCGGCCCGGAGCAGAACCCGAATCCTGACACGGCTCCACAACCTCTGAGGAATGTGCTTTAAATACCTCCCGTCTCAGGCCGTCTCAGACCCCGCAGCTGGACCGACGACTCAACACACACAGTTAATCATGTTCATTTAGAAAGCCTTGTTTCCTCCAAAAAATCCACTGTGAAAAACATTTTTGCACACATATTTTTTAAGCAAAATTTCCAATGAGCAATTAAGTAAACTCTACTTAACTAAATTAGGTGAAATTAACAAAGAAAATGACAAAATTTAACTTGGAAAGGTTGAGCACCATACTATCAAAGTCCTTAAATGCACACTAAACATTTTATGAACTATGTAAAAACTCCATAGCAACCACTCAAACACCATAGCAACCCCCCAAAATACCCTAGCAACAACTCAAAACACCTTAGCAACCACCCAGAACATCCTAGCAACGCCCTAGTAACCATACAAACACATGAATAAGTCATATCTCAGCACCAGAACATCGTACAGACGTGGTTGTTGGTTCGTAATGTACAACACAGAGAGTTTTGCCACTGCAAGCACCGCTTCACATTTTCTTCAGGAAATGTACAATATAAATTGTCTTTGGTATCTATTTCATTGAAGTTTCCTTTGCCATTCATTTCACCTCGAATTGTATAGCTTCTTTGAATTAAACCACAGTTTTAAAGTAGATGCTTTATTTTTAATATATTAGATATTGTGTGAGACACCATCTACATATCACATGTTTGGCATCATGTGGATGCAGAGGGCTCAATACTGGGATGATACACAACCCTGGTAACATTTCATGAATCGTTTTTGTGTATGAATGTAGAAACTGAATCCAAAAGTCACAAAATGGCATGTTACTAATCCTAACAACACAAGTAATGATGAAATAGCTGGGAAACAGTGAAAACCCAGCCTAATTAATTAATCAAGGCCCAGTGCATGATGGGAACATCAGTTTCAGTTGAGTATTTTTACCTAATTTTGTATGTTTATGTTTACTTTAACTTCTACACGCTTGAATTGAGGGCTAATATAGAATTTACCATTTTTTAAAATTCTTGCCTGAACTAACTTTTTTTATGTATAAATGACTTTTTTCTGTAGTATTTACTTCACCTCAAAAAAATCAGTGTCAACTATTCAACATGGCTATTGTAATTATATCTGTTGAAATTGATCCTTTTTATCCAAATATGGAATACTGCTTTTAAAAGAAATATTAATCAAAATACAGCTTAATTCACCCTTGCAAAAAAAAAAAAAAAAAAATCACATTTAAAGGGGTAGTGCACCCAAAAATTAATTTTGCCATAATTGTTGTAATAAATTGTTATAATGTTGTCAATAAAAAAAACAGCTCTTTTGCTATCAAACTGTGGCACATATAAATGTTTTTGGCAATGTTTCATGTTTCAGTCAAGTTTTTAGTAAAATATGTGTCTACTTTATAGAAATTATGCTTTCAGTGGATATTTTTTGTCCCCGTGAGAGTTAGCCTATGCCACTGAAAACATTCACAAAGATAAATACATCTTTGAAATTTCAGAATGATTTACTTTTGTTTTAAATAGATGTCACGAATTAATCAAATTTGAGCCTAAACATATTCTAACGTTGGACAAGCAAAAAAATAGTGTCAAAATTGTATTAATTTTGAAGAGTACATCTATTTTTATAATCTGAAATCTAACAAGCTTACTTGGTTTGAAAATATCTTTTAGAGCTATAATAGGCCTAATATATCTTTAGAGCACCCAAATATTTACGTTGTTAATTATTTTAATGCATTGTTTAATGTTGTCATTAATAAACAGCTCTTTTAATATCAAACTGTGCCAAACATAAAAGTTTTTGGCTACATTTGTTGTTAAAACACACACATGCCACTTTTTGCGGTGATGTGTAGCCTAGTTGTTGCTGTAAGACACAGATCGGCTATGTGGTCATGAACGGGTTACAGTACAGGAGTGTCGGCTCGAGCGGATGTGACGCGAGCCAATCACAGCGCGCGGTGCGTGATGGAGGCGCGTGACGTCACCGGGAGTCTTGAGGGGATTGGAATGCTACTATGTAACAATCGCAACTGGACGCTTCGGATTAAAGCGCTGGAATGTTACATTGTATCGTCGGCAAGCGTCGGAAGCGCTTTGAATGAGCGTAACACGGAATAGAAAAACGCGTTTGTGATGTTTTCAAAACAACAACCGCTCGATTCCAAAGGGGGATTTATTCCAGCCGTAAAATATGTGAGAACACACGGATTTGTGGGGATTTATCCGGCCGGGAAGTTTGTGACAGGATCTTTCTGACCCACACACATCACGTGAGACCCGTCACTGGCGAAGTTCTCTGATTCCCCGAGCCTGGATGTCGAGAACACGTCTCTGAAAGTACTTTCTGATGATTCTCGTGGACCCGGAGCAGGTCAGGTGTCATCAGACAGTAGTTTAGATGCTGTCTAACGCGAACCAGGCACTGGAAAGGAGAGAGCTAGATCCATAACAAGGGGTTCAGGTCAAGTCGCCCACATGCTCTGGATTTGGGATCGGAATCACAAGGTGGAAGTCGAGAGCATCAAATCCCTGCAGGTCTGTGGAAGAAGATGCTGTCCAGCAAGAGTTAAAACCTCCAGATTCATCAGCAAACCGCTCCATCTGGACCTAAGGACACATGCAGGCCAAAAAACGCTATTTAATTCTGTCCTCTGCAGGTGTGTGTCTCATTCTCCTCTTTTACCTGCAGGGACCATCTTCCAGAAGGAGTCCAAATCAGCGGGATGATCCTCATCCACACTGGCCTTCCTTCTCAGATCCGCTCCGAGCTTTTATTCCCTGGGATCAGACCCAAGCCGAAGACTACAATGTCCGAACTTCTCCGAGACACAGAAGAGATGACAACCCTGCGTCTCACAAGTGCAGAATGGACTCGTGCTTCGACTTCTCCCTGTGCAAGAAGAACGGCTTCAAAGTCTACGTCTACCCTCAACAGAAAGGTGAGAAGATGTCTGAGAGCTACCAGAACATCTTGTCCTCCATCGAAGGGTCCAGGTTCTTCACTTCGGACCCGGGACAGGCTTGTCTCTTCGTTCTGAACCTCGACACCCTGGACCGAGACCAGCTTTCTCCTCAGTACGTTCACAACCTCAAAACCAAGATCCAGAACCTGAACCTGTGGAATAACGGGCGCAACCACCTGATCTTCAACCTGTATTCGGGCACATGGCCGGATTACACGGAGGATCTGGGGTTTGATATCGGACAAGCCATGTTGGCCAAAGCCAGCATCAGCACCGAGAACTTCAGACCCAGGTTTGACATCTCCATCCCGTTGTTCTCCAAAGATCACCCTCGGACTGGAGGAGAACGAGGCTATTTAAAGTACAACACCATCCCTCCGTTTAGGAAATACATGCTGGTTTTTAAAGGCAAGCGCTATCTGACTGGGATTGGATCTGACACCAGGAATGCGCTCTACCACGTCCATAATGCTGAAGATGTGGTTCTGCTCACCACATGCAAACATGGCAAAGACTGGCAGAAACATAAAGACGCTCGCTGCGACAAGGACAATGCTGAATATGACAGGTAAGAGAAACGGTGGCGCTTTTTAACTAATGCATCCTTATTATATTAAGCTATTAGATCATGTGGCCCCAAAAAGCATCGGCTAATGCAAAATGAATGTGTTAATGTCATTGCAATAGATATCAAATATTAAAGCAAGTGTCTTTTATGTGAAATTTAAAGATTTTTGCATTTTTAAAGCATTTTATTTAGATTGTAGTGATGAAACAACACTTTACAATAAGCTCCCATTAGTTAATGAAGTGACACTTTATAACAATTTTAACTAAATACATCCTTATTATATTATGCTGAATGTACAGTGGCCCCAAAAAGCATTTGCCAATGCAAAATGAATATATTAATGTCATTGCAATAGATTAAAATATCAAAGCAAGTGTCTTTTATGTTAAATTAAAGATTTTTGCATTTTTGCATTTTTAACTAATGCATCCTTATTATATTAAGCTATTAGATCATGTGGCCCCAAAAAGCATCGGCTTATGCAAAATGAATGTGGTAATGTCATTGCAATAGATATCAAATATTAAAGCAAGTGTCTTTTATGTTAAATTTAAAGATTTTTGCATTTTTAAAGCATTTTGTTTTAGATTTGTAGTGATGAAACAATAGATGCATTGGTAACACTTTACAATCAGCTCCCATAAAGCGACACTTTATAACAATTTTAACTAAATACATCCTTATTATGTTATGCTAATGTACAGTGGCCCCAAAAAGCATTTGCCAATGCAAAATGAATATATTAATGTCATTGCAATAGATTAAAATATCAAAGCAAGTGTCTTTTATGTTAAATAAAAGATTTTTGCATTTTTAAAGCAATTTGTTTTAGACTTGTAGTGATGAAACAACACTTTACAATAGTTAATGCAGTAACTAACATTAACAATGAGTAATACATTAGTTACAGTATTATTTGTTAATATTAGCTAATGAAATACAACTGTTCATTGTTAGTTCATGCTAACTCAGGTCTATTAACTTTTAATTTTTTGTTTTATTAAATGTTGATTTAAAAAATGCTTTCAAACTATAATATTAACAGATGCAACCTTATTGTAAAGTCTTTCTTATTTATATTGTTCAAAGTGAAGATTTTAAACACTTAAAAATGTGTTATAATCGTTGATTTAGATGGGAAAAAAATATCAAGAAGTTAACTTTTCTGATGTGTTTGCATTGACTTTAAAGCATTTTGTCAAATAATCAAAACTAAATGTGTTATTTTAATGAACATGTGTGATTAGAAAGTGTTACCAAAAACAAATGAATGTTGTTATATACAGTATCTACAGTTTTGCATCATTCATGTTGAGCTTGTTTCAAATGATTATCAAAAACAATTTTTCTATTTTTCTAATGCAGTGATTTTTTTTAAACCCTAAGCTGATGCTTGTCATTATAACATATCATTTCGAATTGAAGTGCACATGAAATGGCTTTAATGCATTAAGATGTGCAGCCCGTAGGAAGCAAAAGCTTTCAATGTGCATGACATAATATAATAACCACCCATGCTATCTGGATATACTGATTCAAAAGTTTGGTTTTATGGTGTTTTTGAAAGAAGTCTCTCCTGCTTAACATGGCTGTTTTTTTGTTTTTTTTTGATAAAAATACAGTAAAATTTTGAAATATTATTACAATGTAAATCAGCTGTTTTTTATGTGAATATACAATAATGTGTAATTTATTCTTGGGATCAAAGATGCATTTTCAGCATCATTACTCCAGTCTTCTACAGAAGCTCGTTTCCGCAACAGAATAAAAAATAAAAACATTTTTATCACACAATTTTGTCTTTTTTTTCTCACAATTGCAAGTATACATCTCGCAATGCGGACTTTATTTTTCAGAAAAGCATATTTATAACTTTATAACACGCAATTGGGAGATATAAAGTCAGAATTGCTTGATATAAAGTAAAGTCACAATTCTGAGGAAAAAAGTCATTTATTCCAGAGTTGGACTTTATAACTTGCAAATACGTGTTTATATCTTACAATTCTGAGGAAAGATGTCAGAATTACGAGAATTAAACCCGCAATTGCATGTTATAAAGTCAGACTTGTGAGTTTATATCATGCAATTCTAAGAAATAAAGTCAGAATTGTGAGTTTATATCATGCAATTCTGAGAAATAAAGTCAGAATTGTGAGTTTATATCATGCAATTCTAAGAAATAAAGTCAGAATTGTGAGTTTATATCATGCAATTCTGAGAAATAAAGTCAGAATTGTGAGTTTATATCATGCAATTCTGAGAAATAAAGTCAGAATTGTGAGTTTACATCATGCAATTCTAAGAAATAAAGTCAGAATTGTGAGTTTATATCATGCAATTCTGAGAAATAAAGTCAGAATTGTGAGTTTATATCATGCAATTCTGAGAAATAAAGTCCGAATTGTGAGTTTATATCATGCAATTCTGATAAATAAAGTCAGAATTGTGAGTTTATATCATGCAATTCTAAGAAATAAAGTCAGAATTGTGAGTTTATATCATGCAATTCTAAGAAATAAAGTCAGAATTGTGAGTTTATATCATGCAATTCTGAGAAATAAAGTCAGAAATGCGAGATTTCGCAGTTGTGCGATAAAAAGTTGCGATTATCTTTTAAAATGTTTTATTCTGTGGCGTAAACAAGCAGTCTTCAGTGTCACACGCTCCTCCAGAAATCATTCCAAAATGCTGATTTGTATTTTACTAAAAGTATTTCACTGATTTACTGTATTTCTGATCAAATAAATGCATCTTTCCTAGTTTTTGACAGTACTAGTAGTGTATTCTTGTTCAGAATTAGGATTGCAATAAACATTGTTATGCAATCTCTTCCTCAATGGTTATGATGGCAGGTGTTAAGAAGTCAAACTTGATCACACCGTGATCTGTGTGTGTGTGTTGGTGCCTCGGGCCCCGGTTCCCTGCTGTGTGTTTTGTCCCGGTGAGACGGGGACGGGCGGCTCTGAAGGATTAGTGGGAACAATGTTCACTGGTGCCAGTCGGGGAAAGCAGCTCTCTCTGTGTTTAAACAGCCGTTCCCAGACCCCACCAATGCCTGTGTCCCTCGCGACCCCTCGCGACCTCTCGCTACCCCTCGCGACCTCACTGTCATCCCGCCCATCGACAGTCTGTTCTGGGGGACTTCAGGAGATGCTCACATGCCACTCACACAGTTAATAACCCTACCGAAGCACAGCTGTCAGGGTGGCCTTAAAAACTCTTACAATATCTTAAATTCAGATTAAATATTTCTGGTCACATTTACCGCTAAAATTTCTCCAGTCAATGTCCGTCAAATAACTAGAGAAGCATCGAATCGCGAGAATGATTCTGATTTTATTGCACAAACGGCGATTGATAATGATAATGTGTTTCTGTCAGCGCTGTTGAGACTCGCCGGTCTCTGTGAGAGATCAAAACAAACGAGCAGAACAGCACACATCGTAACTCACACAGAAACATACTGAGATTCACAATGTTGAGTTTTTTTATTTATAACATATGATATAGTGATATAAAGTGACCGTTTTGACTCTTGAAGTCGAGGGAATTAAACTCACAAATGCTTAAATGTGGTGCATAAGTAAGTTTGGATGGAAACATGTGGCTTATTGCTTATAAAGTCTTAATATTATAAAAAAAATAAAGTCTTATTGCTTATAAAGTCTTAATACAGTCGCAGCATGGCACATCCGTCAATACGATCTGTGTAACAGGTTTGCTTTATTCAGCAGTTCGTTCAGTATTACCCACATGCCATGTGTTTTGATTTTGGGTGCAAGAGCAGTCGTGGAAGCCTTTCTAGTTTCTCCATGTGTTTTTTTGTGGTAACCTAGAACTGTAATTCAGAGTTTTTTATGCGGAGGGAACCATGTGCTTGTGTTGATTATGTCAGCCATAGTCAAGTTACTCCTATAGCTGTGCTTTCAGAATTTGAGCCATGTTTGAAATCCAGATGCACTAGTTTAAAACTATAGTCACGCACTGTGTACTCAACCATGCACAATGTAAAAAACAGTTGCTGACTTACATTTTATTTATTTATAAGTTATTTTATTTTATTTATTTTTTAAATTTTCCAATTATTTTATTTTATAAATTATTTATATTATTTATAAAATATTTTAATTTATATATGTATAAAAAAACCCTGCATAGTGCACACATTAGAAGCAACAGATAAAAATATACCGAATCAGGTATTAGGAGGGCTGTCCACATTTACTTATTGTAATAACTAATAAAAGGTAGGTCGCCAAATTAAGTAAAATGTTTGTTCTTTTTTCCTAAAAAAAATATTTAATTTTTTCCAACTGTAAATATTGCATTACGTCTCTAAGAAGGTTTTGATGAGTAGGAGGAGCATTATTTTTCCAGTTTAGTAAAATTAGACGTCTGGCTAGCAACATCACAAAACACATTACGTTAATTTGTGATCTGCTCAAATGTATATCTGTAGGTACAACACTAAATACTGGATCTGATGGGAGTCTAACGTTAAAAATTGTTGACAAAGTATCAATTATTTTAGACCAATACAGAGTGATGTGGGGACTGTTCCAACATGTATGTGCCAATGAAGCAGGGGCATAGCCACAACGATTAAGTACAAGTTATTTAAACTTAAATTATAATAAATTGACTTAAAAAATAAGTTGAAGCTTAACTTGTGAAAAAAAGTTGAAACATATGCTGTCGTAACGTATTGATCATATAATTTTTTACTGTGAATTTTTATATGGCTATTTTGTCATTTGACATCACCAACATTCCACACTTTGGTGTTTTCCGTTAAGTAATTGCATCATCGGAATTTAAAGTGTTTATTATTCCGTTTGGAATTTTCCAAAATTCCGTTTGGAATTTTCAGAATTTTCACACTTTCACACAGCTAGTTTAGACCGGTCTATAGTGTTACACAAGTCTAAAATGTGGTAAGGCAAGAGATTGTTTCACAAAAATAAAGACTGACTTAATTTAGACCAAAAAAATTA